GCCTTACCTAGAGTACCAAACGTCCTGTTTGATGATCAGCTGGCTTAGTTTTTCTCCACCTCTATCCTAATTACATCAGTCCCCAATTTCATTTATTACTGCTTTCTATGTGCATTCGCCACCTTTTCATTGGGCAGATCTGCCCGTTTGGTTTGCGAATTAAAATAAACACAACAACAACAACAACATATTCACCCTGTCCCTCCCCCCTCCCCTCCTCCCGAAAAAAAGGCCTCAGACTCAGAGTCAGACAGTCAGAGCTACAACATGTACATAATAGCCCGTACTAGAGTCTAGTACGGGCTCTACATACATGTACATGTATGTACATGTTGTAGCTCTGAGGCCTTTTTTCGGGAGGAGGGGAGGGGGGGGGGGGGACAGGGTGAATATGAATGATCCAGCGCGGCCGCGGGCGGCGGCTATAGTCATTATTTTGATAGCACTACTACGCCACTACTCACTAGCACTAGCAGTAGCAGGACTGACAGACTAAACCAGTGGTGTCATTACTGATGTAGTACTAGTAGTAGTACATGTAGTCACATCCTGTATTGCTGAACCCACAAATAATTGTGATACAGATTGTAAACCATTCGAGGAAGAAGAGAAAGCCATTAAAAAAAATAAAAAAAATAAAAAAAGGTTATTGTACCATGCCAGACGGCTATTATTTATTATTTATTATTTATTTATTTATTTCACCTTCCCGTGGCCAGAGAATATAGGCCAATATGGAGGGAGGGGAGCGGTAGCCAGCCATGGCTGTAAACAAAAACAAAGCAAAAATAAATAAATATTACACATTACTGGAGGCAAAGAGAAACAAATCTGGATGAAGAATTAGCAGTTATTAGAACACGAGCTTCATGTTGGCCTTGAAATCCTTTAGCGTACAAGACGATTTAACTGATAGAGGCAGGGCCAGCCAGAGAGAATAGGCAGCGAAAAACGGAGATCTGGTATAAGCTGAGGTTCGGGCTTTAGGTAAAGTGCAGGGATTGCGCGTAGAACGAGTGGGAAGAAACCAGTTATATTTACGCAAGTGTGGCGGGGCTTTGTCAAGACGAATAGAATGAACAACGATACACAGTTTTCGATCCGCTTGACTGGAGATAGGGAAGGTGTTAAACATATCGTACAGCTCGGCAGAAGGAAAGTATGATGGTTTTCGGAAAAGGACTTTGAGTATCCTCTTATTGTGGACTTCCAGGGTACTCATTAACGATTTACTTAGTAGGGATGACCAGGCGGTTGAGCAAAAGAGAAAAATGGGGAGAATATAGCAATGGTAAAAAAGGCGAATGCATTCAAGCGGTAGGTGGGAGCAGTGAGACACGAGGTAGCCAACAGCTTTACTGACTTTGCTACAGATATAGTCGACATGTCTACTAAACGATAAGTTTGAGTCATATGACCAAACCAAGATGTTTGTGTTGTTTTACCACTGTGAGGTCTGTGAGGGATCCGGGAAGAGTGAATGCATAGGTTGGCTCTGAGTTCGGCAGGAATAATATCTCAGTCTTGGCGATATTAGGTCTTAGTCTCCAGGTAGTCATCCACTGATGGACTTCGTTGATACCGCGCTGGAGACTGTCTCGCAGCCTGTCTAGACACTCATTGAACCGGAGCAGTGCAGTATCGTCAGCAAATAAGGACACACCTTCAACATGACTGGGAAGATCATTTATATACGCTAGGAAAAGGAGGGGCCCTAGGATGGATCCCTGGGGCACTCCGGACAGAACAGGTGAAGCATCTGAGAGAAGTCCACCTACAAAGACAACTTGCGTTCTGTCGGATAGGTAGTCTGTAATCCACTCCAGCGCTGAGTCACACACACCGAAAACTTTGGAGAGTTTAGCAAGTAATGCACGGTGCCACACGGTGTCGAAAGCTTTCTCGAGGTCGAAAAAGCACATTGCAACTTTCCGCCCCATATGACGATGGTCGGCAATGTTTTGGATCAGCTTGGTGAGCTGTAGAGCGGTCGAGTCACCACGACGAAACCCAGATTGCGCGGGATGCAGAGCAGGAGAAATAATTGTATAATTGATTGAAGAAGAGCCATTAAGTCATGTACCAATTGTAGTACATGACGTAGTAGTCACGCACCTACAAAATACTTTGCAGGATAATATTTAAATTGCCTAGCATGCCTACAAATCCGCAGAGCATGCCAATGTTAAATAGGCCAACATATGAATACCGAAGGCGGTTACATGGACAGAAGGCGACATTGGTCGAGAAAAGATGGGCCTATTCTCTTCCTCAAGTAAGACGCTCTGCAACCACGGAGGCACGTGATTGACCACCTCAGCAAAACAAATGCAATTTTGCAGCGTAGCTGTGCCATCACAACAGCGTACTGGAGGTCACTATGCTTGTTAACCACCAGCTGAACAATGTTCTTCAATGCACGAGAGCACTCCGTGCCACATACGCCGTTTGTCGAAAATACGAGCGGAGTGAATGGAATGACCCCCTCTCGACATCGACAACACGCTGAAGATAGGCCCGCTTCTTCTGATGTTCATTCCGGGAAATCTGTGCAAGGACCTCCTGTCGCGACAGCAAAGACGCCGAAGGGGTGAGTGACCCTCACATCAAAGAATGCATCTTGCTGTGGCGACCAAAAGCCCCTTGCACGGATATCCAATCGAGCCTCTGCAGCAAGATTAGCGGTAGCGCCGTGAAGTTGTTCACCATCCAAAGGCAAAAGCGGTGGCTCTGTTTGAACATCCGGGATGGCAGAAGTCATCACCTCCACCAGCACATCACGAAGCTCATTATGTCGCAGACTTGGGTAGCCCCCTGTAGGGCATGTCAATGCATGGTCGACAGACATGTCTCTACCACACACACAAGTAAGTTAGTTGGTGGGAGGCCGTCAATACCCCAGCCATAGCGCAGGGCGAGACCATCCCGGAAACATGCTTTATTTAGCGCAAAGCCACACTAGTACTAGTAGTAGTACTACCGTAAAAAGTAAAGCTTGCACGTCCGCGTTACCACCGGCTATACAATTGCGTTGAGAAACACAACCAGCTTAGGAAGTTTCGCATGTGCCAGGCCACCACCATTGCCAACAGTGCAGGCTAAATTTTATTTTTCAAGGAAACCCTTCGAAAATGGTACCAATCGATTCAGCATGGCATTTTCATTCCTTCTGGAAAGTTTCAGCTGATTTGGAGTCATGACAAGGACGCTATGGCGATTTGAAGATCGAAAAACTTCACTTTTGTTTGTCAAGAAGAAAGACCATGATCGCACACAAATCATACAACCCGTGTGGCACAATGATTTTGAGCGAAGTTGATCCGCGGACCCCGTGCTTCGCGCATGCATGCATGCATACTGCATGCACACACACAGTACAGTCTACAGAGGCTTTTTTGAACGCAGATATGTAGTTCTTCGTCTTCTTTGAAATGTCTTCCAAATGCGTGGTGCTGGTAATGTTCTCAGCTTCGTCAAGGCAGAATAGGGCTTGAAAGTGATGACGTCAAAACGGCCAGGGAGTAGTAAGTTGACAGCAGATTTCTATTTTTGGATCCACTAAGGTGTGACTTTGCTATTGCCTAAGTATGTGGGTGCATAGCAACCCACTCATGTCGCATGCAGGTGTGACTTTTATTTCGCCACCAGTTGTAACCCCGCCCCCAGTAGCCAAATCAGTCAGTTTCACTGGCTACATCACCATGCTGTGGGTAAGACCGCTTGAAATGTGCTTGGATCCATACAAAAACTGGATCCAAGTGGACCCAGTTTTTGTATTTTTGAAATTGTTGCTATGCTGTGACGTAGCACTTTCAAGCCCTATGCAGCTGCATGTGATGCTCCTGTGTGTTCATGCATGTTCTCTTTTCGCGTCTCGACTTTGTAGCGTCCAGACTCAGCTCGACTGGAGAAGATTGAGGAGACTATGCTTTGATCCACATGGAAAATCGATGAAATTTGGTAATTATCGTCGGGCGCTAAAAAGCGCTGGGGAGCATGGGGCTAAAACTTCGTAGCAGTCATCCCTACCATGACAGGCATCGACTGGTATATGTTCCATTCTGTTCCCAACCACTACGGGTAGTCTGCGAAGCTTTCTTCTTCGCCGATTCTCGGACAGATCGTACGTCTTCGCACTGTATCTCTCGTCTAGCGTCTCCCTCAACGGATCAAAACACGGTTTTCGCCAGGACGAACACAAACCCCCAGATTTCGCGGCGGCAACATCTTCGAGTAGGGAAAAGCTAGCAGCTTACCAGGAATCACCAAAAAACACGTGTAATACACAGTGTGATTTGCGACAGCTGTCATTGTGCCGTCGCACCATGCATGTACCATGCACGGGCCGGGAATGGAACACGGATGAGTCGTTTTATTACGACAGCCTGCACTGGCACCATGCCCGTGCTACCCCAGGGTGGCAGATGCAGCGCCTAACGGCGAGGGTGAGGTGGTAAGTCTCACAACCAATGCCCGACCGTACGAGTACTGGCAATATATGTTGCCGCGTAACGCGTAACGCAGGGGGGTACCCGGGTGCGGCGTAACGCGCGACCAGGCTAGTGCGACAAATTTTCGTTGCGTTCGTAACGCGCGTCCGGCGGGGTGCGGCGATCTTTTCATTGCAGTTTGCACTGCATGCAAAGGCTGAAAACTGTGAAAGCACGTGTACCAGGTGTACCGCGTGGCAAAAAAAAAGGACTGCGGCAATATAGAAACCTAACGGCTCCTGTGCGACTTTGCATGTAACGCCCTGCGTGCGGTAAACAACAGTTACATGTGCCAATGACGCAATGTATAAACGCTTCATGGTATGCACTGCGACCATAATTATTATTATTATAATTATTGCCAGTACGGTAGTACAGTACTCAGTACTAGTACAGTACATGACTGTACAGTCGTAGCGCACGTCACGTGCGCTGTGAACAGCAGCAGAGAACATAGTTTCCGAAATAATTCGCTAATAATAATATTATTATTGTTCATTGTGAAATTATTCTAGCCAAGCAACAGAACCTTTTGTCCCACAAATCTTGAGAAATACCAATCGGTCCAAGTACTAGGTAGAGCGGAGACAAACTGTAAAATAGATAAAAGCTGCCTTGCACCCCCCTCTCTTCTTCCACACCGAACGACTTACGTAGCCCGAGGTTTCGCTCTTGCTAGGAAACAGGCGTGACACTTATAAAGACTAATAGCTGTCCAATACGGTGAAGAGATTATGTGCAGTAAAATTCCATTTTGATTTGTGAACTAGGACACATGCCTTGCAAGTAATTGGTAAATTGAGGACCCGACGTGAAAGAAGAAAGCCGTTCAGGGTAAATGATGGCAGAAAGAATTGGGCAACGTCACAAGAACGAAACCCCAGAAGTGGTTCTGGTTACTGGTGCCTCGGGATATGTGGCGTCTCGTATCATTAGCGACCTGCTTCGAGTGAGAGTAGGGGACGAGCAGCGACCAGCGTACCGCGTGAGGGCGTCGGTGAGAGGAGATGTGCGCTCACCCCGATACGACGTTGTGAGGCGTATAGCTGAGTCCAGTGTATCACAAGGCCTGAGTCGCAGGGATGGAGAAGAAGAAAGTCTACTGGAGCTAGTCACTTTGGATTTGTGTGCAGACGAAGGATGGGACAAGTAAGTCATACAGTAGCTAGAGAACTTGTTCTGCAAGTAATGGGTCACGCTCAGCTTGAGGTTAGAAGGCAGATTCGTGGTGGGACACCTTAGCACGGGGCTCAAACTGGGAACCGGCCATTTAGAAAATCCTGGACAATCCACTGTCCACATGATCCAGTAATGTTATACATGGCGCTCATGGGAAAGTGCAATATACTAGTTATCACCCCCCCCCCCCCACCCCCCCCCCCCCCCCCCCCCCCCCAGACACACCCATCATAGCAACATAGAATGTCGTTGCTTTTTGTTGTTTTTGGCATGTGATTATGCAATCACCATTGTGAAACGAGGGTTGCCTGCTGTTCCTGGTTGATAGTATTGAAGAAAAAAAGAAAGAAAAAATCACGCCTAACTGCTACTGCTATCTGCCAATAATGATGCTGTCACTTCGTTTGCCACCTCCAACTACTGAGGTGCCTCGTGCTGTTGCACTACCACAGCTTCGTCCGCCCTGCGTTGACCCGGCATCGTACTCTCGTACTCTGCTCATGCTGCCATACTCTCGTGTGGTGGCCCTCGTGAGCACGTCCGTTACGCTATTTGCACTTGCCACGCGCCTATGCGGCCCATGCCCGGTTCTCTATTTGCTGTCTTCCTGCCCGCGTCCCGCCTTACCTGGTGCGCTCTCGCGCCATATTTCCCGTAATTCTAAGCATTTTGGTGTCTGTTATCCTGGATCCAGTGGCAACCGGGGACTTCGCCTCTTCCATACGTGGAAATGCTTTTTTTTTTTTTTTTTTTTTTTTTTTTTTTTTTTTTCTACTAAGGCCACAGCTTCCAATCATGACATGCAAAGCAGCGGTGCAGCATCGCAGGCATGAATCGTGGACGTGGTGACGGGGTCTGATGTGCTCCACCGACCTAGGGTCTCGGCTTCACTGCACAGCAAACGCGTCGAAAGAAAACGGGGGCTAATAATTATCGGGAGATGGGGGAAGAAGAAGAGAAGAAAGAAAGAAAGAGAGAGAGAGAGAGAGAGAGAGAGAGAGAGAGAGAGAGAGAGAGAGAGAGAGAGAGAGAGAGAGAGAGAGAGAGAGAGAGAGAGAGAGAGAGATAGAGAGAGAGAGAGAGAGAGAGAGAGAGAGAGAGAGAGAGAGAGAGAGATAGAGAGAGAGAGAGCGAGAGAGAGCGAGAGAGAGCGAGAGAGAGAGAGAGAGAGAGAGAGAGAGAGAGAGAGAGAGAGAGAGAGAGAGAGCGAGAGAGCGAGAGAGAGAGAGAGAGAGAGAGAGAGAGAGAGAGCTGGGAGCGAGAGAGAGCGAGAGAGAGAGAGCTGGGAGCGAGAGAGAGCGAGAGAGAGAGAGAGAGAGAGAGAGAGAGAGAGAGAGAGAGAGAGAGAGAGAGAGAGCGAGAGAGAGAGAGAGAGAGAGAGAGAGAGAGAGAGATAGAGAGAGAGAGAGAGAGAGAGAGAGAGCTGGGAGATAGAAGAGCACAGTGCTCTTGGTGATGGGGACTGCGAAGGATAGCAGGTTCTGGGATATGTGCATGAGAATCAGAATATTGGTGATGATGACAGCAGGGTTATAAGGTAAGCAGTTGAACACTAATAAGAACAGGGAAAGCGTTGGCGAGCAGATTCAAAGTGCATCAGTAGCAGAGAGCCAGTCCTGAGCAAGAAGGTGACGGTACACCTTTTTCTTAAAGCTTTGCATGTGAGGCTGGGCGGGTGGGCGGTGGAACAGGTCTGGTGGCAGGGCATTCCATGTTGCAACGGTGCAAGCAGGGAATCCTTGGAGACAGCTATTCCGGGTGTTGGCAGGCAGACCAGTTGTCATCTGGTATGGATGGGAATCCTGCAGCTGGAGAGACTGACGGGTAGGTCTTGTCTCGGGGGCACGGTGAGTGGCTGGTTTAGGCAGCATCTGCTTCAGAGGGCTGGATGCATCTAGATAGCAGAGCTTGTAGGTATAGGCAAGTGCAGCTACCAGGCGACGGAGTGCCAGGCTAGGGAGCCAAGTACCTGCTCCGATGATGTGGAGGGCCCTTCGCTGGATCTGGTCCAGCTTCTTAAGATGGGACGAGGGTGAGCCCATCCACACTAAGGGGCAATACTCGAGTGTGGGTCGCACAAAGCCGTTGTAGACACGTTGGCGGCTCTCGGCGTCCAGAATGGGAGACGCTCGCTTCAGGAAGCCGATCCGCTGGTTAGCACGGGAAGCTAGGGAGCGGAGGTGGAAGGAGTAGCTCAGGGTGTCGTCAAAGGTGACTCCCAGGAGTTTCAGCCGACTCTCTTCACTGACCGGTGTGCCGTCAAATGTTGCTCGAGGGAGCTCCCAGGGCTGGCGATGGTGGCCTATAGACATAGCCTGCGTCTTGGAGGGCTCAAATTTGATCCTCCACTTATGTCCCCAACGGGAAAACGCATCAATGCCCTGCTGGAGGAGCTCGGAGCCACAGTCAATGTCAGCTCTTGATGTGAGGCAGTGGAAGAGAGTGGTGTCGTCAGCGTAGGCTGCTAGCTCCATACCTGGTGGGAGGTGGTCCTCGCCATCATTGGTGTAGAGGATGAACAGGGTGGGGCCAAGGATACTGCCCTGCGGCACGCCAGCTTTGGTCGGGTACGGACTGGAAAGTTCACCTCCAACTGCAACCCTCAAGTGACGATCAGTCAGGTAATCCCTCAGCCAAGCGAGAAGTGGACCAGTTACACCATAGCATTGTGCCTTGTGCAAAACGCCTACATGAGAGACGCGGTCGAATGCGCCAGCCACATCAACTGCAATGACTCGAACTACACCACCTCTGGCTGCAACGCGACTCCATTGGTAGTTGAGTAGCGTGAGTATGTCCTGGGTGCCGAGTTGGCTGCGGAAGCCATACTGACTTTTCGATAAGATGTTGTGTGCCTCCAGGAACTGTCGGATTGAGTGGTTAATAATGGCCTCCATGACTTTTGACAGAATAGAGAGGAGGGAGATCGGGCGGTAGTTCTTAACATCAGACTTGGATTTTTTCTTGTGCACCGGCACAACCATTGCCGTCTTCCACATTGTAGGTTGCCGACCTTGGTGGAAGGCCTGCGAAAAGAGCCGCGACACTGGTGCAGCCAGCTCTTTGCTGCATTGCCGGAGTACACGCCCGGGGATGCCATCTGGACCCGTGGCTTTGGCGGGGTGGAGTTGCCTCAGCTTCCGCTCAACCGTGCTTGGCCGAAAGTGGACATTGCGGAGTTGGGCTTGAGATCGGGGGCGGACTGGAGGGAGGCTGTTGGCTTGCAAGTCGTTGTCACCAAGACTGCACTTTGCGGAGAAATACTGCCCGAATGCTTCGGCCTTTTCGCTGCAGGTGGTGTGCTCAGTTCCGTTCGACGCACGCAGAACAGGTATGTCTGCAGAGCGGTGTCCTTGCCCACCTGCTCGCTTGACGGTTGTCCACCATTGTCGGCTGGAAAGGGCACCTTCTCTTATCTTTCGGCGGATACTGGTAGTGTGCGCTTGCTTGGCTCTGTGCAGACAGTTTGTTGCTTCACCTGTTGCCATAGAGTAGGCCAGCCGCAGGTGTGCATTGTTGGGCGAAGATCGGTGACGTCGCCAGGCACGTTGCTTCCTGTCAACAGCTTCCTGGCACTCAGGTGACCACCAGGCTGGGTCTCCCTGGCGTAGCTTCAGGGTTTTGGACGGGATGAATATCTGCATGCCCTCTTTGATCTTCTGTGTGAGTTTCACACAAGAGACGTCAATGCTGTTGTCATCAGTCAACACCCAGTTTGTGGACCGAAAGAAAGCCCGTAGCCGAGGCCAGTCAGCATTCTGGTAGCGCCACACGGTTCGCTTACTGGGACGGTCACAGGAGGGGGCAACTTCAAAGTCAGTTACCACAACTGCGTGGTCAGATTTCCCTAGAGGTGGATGGAGAGTTGAGATGACGCTTCCAGGGATATCTGACATTATGAGGTCGAGGATATTATTGCCACGTGTTGGCTCATGGACATGCTGATTGAGGCAATGGTGGTAACACAGATCTTCAGCAGCTTCACCAGCAGGGGAAGTTCTACTGCTGCCTAGCCATTCCCGGTTGTGTACATTTAGGTCACCTGCAACGATGATATTCTGGCAGCATTGCCTAGCATCATCTATGCCAGAGCTGATGCTGTTTAGGGCAGAGATGTCTCCATCAGCGGATGAACCTGAGCGATACACAGCACATACTCCAATGGATGGGCCAGCTGCTGTCTTGAGGCGAACCCACAGGATTTCATTTCCACCAGTATCAATACATTCTAGTTCTGTGAAAGCCAGGTCGGCCCGAATCCAGATAGCAACACCGCCCCCCTGGGCCGTACGGTCCCTTCGAACTGGTGGGAAGTATCCAGGGAATGTGAGGTCAGCAGGCGTGGCCTTGTCCTCCGTGACTTTTGTCTCCGTGACGATGACAATGTCTGGGTGGTGGGCATTGAGAGAAGCTTGGAACTCCCCAAGTTTTGACAAGATACCGAAAGCATTTGTCAGCATGAGGCGGAGCATTCTAGGTGGTTGCCGTGCACGTGTTGGAGCCATCATTGTGAGGATTGGTTATCCTGCCGGGGTGGCTGCGCACCAGGCTGGGCAGGACGCTTCGCATCATGCGACAGCGAATCAGGTGACCGCTCGGCAGAAGAACGTTTGTGGCTGTGTGGCGTGGTTACAGGTGTGCCGGCAGCGGACAGGCCACGACTCGCGCTCAGGAAGTCATTTATCGTGGCGGCAATCCCAAGTTGCTGTTGCTCTTGATCATGCTGCTGTGCTTCCAGCTGGTTGGTGCTACTGTCGCTACTGCTGCTGCGGCGACTGCTGGTGCTGCTGCGGTGACTACTGGTGCTGCTGCTGCTGCTGCGGCGACTGCTGGTGCTGCTGCGGTGACTACTGGTGCTGCTGCGGCGACTGCTGGTGCTGCTGCTGGTGCTGTTGTTGTTCCTGTTGTGGCGGCTGCTCTTGCTGCTGCTGGTGCTGTTGGCTGCATTCGCATTTGTGGAGGTGTGGAATCTCCATGGCCTGCAGTAGAGTGGCCTTGGCCAGAAATTGGCGGACGTCACTGTCAGCTTGGAGGTGGCATCAACCGATATCCTGGCTGACACTTGCCCGTTTCCGGCTGTATGTAGGCTGCATTGGTGGGCTTTGACAGGCGTCCCTACGCTTTCCGACCTACGGTGTACAAACTCAGTGAGACTGTCCACTGTGCAGTCGTGGCTCAAGTTGCCCACAAAGAACACAGATCGCTTCTTTCTTGGCGGGCCCGCCGCAACTAATTTCCAACTGTCATCCTTGATGACGGCCATGATAGGGTGGCTCTTCTCGCAGTCTGATTGCACAGGCTCAGGATCGACAAAGCCGGGGTCGTCCGTACGGGTACGGGTTTCGTGCTGTGCAGAGCCAGAGGCCACGTCGATCTGCCCTGACTGTTGTCCAGCATCTGCATCGGCTGGGTCGAGCTGGTTTGCTGCTGCAGCTGGGTCAGGCTGGCCCTGCTGGGGAGGACGGTTACGAGGTTTCGTACGGGTACGAGATTTGTCGCCTTGGACTTGGTGCTGAGTAGATCGTGCAGGGGCCTTGTCGGGAACAACAATGGCGGATTTCTGCAGTGAACAAAATTCCTCACGTAGGGCTAGGAGATGCGTGGAGAGATCGTCCACACGCTGATGAAGACGCCCCTCACGATCCCTCGACTCGCTGATATGAGACGTCAGGGTCTGCAGCACGCTGAGCAGAGTCTGCTCTATGCCCGGGAGGGAGCAGAGCAGTTTCATCGCAGGCTCTCCTGCGAGCTCGCCCATGGCGAAGAGGTTCTCCCTGATTTTGACTGCTTACACCCCTACACTACGCTACCCTACTACCCTATGCTACCCTACACTGCCACTATTCACACTAATACTACTGTCCTACTTCCAGACCGGCCTGTTGCCGGCTGGGCTGTCAAACACTACGGAGCTGAAAAAGTCACAACTGTCCACAGTCAGTGCATTCGGTTTAGCCGTACCGCCTGTCTCTGCCTGGCACTAGTCCTCTCACAGTACCGCCTTGTTACAGGTGTATCTCGCATGCTCGGATAGTACCATACCTTGGCTGAGGCTTAGTATGCACGTTAGAGTCCTTTCGTGCAATGAAAGGACCTGCTTCCTAATAAAGAGACTAGGCGCCATGAGCCCTGTTCATAGTAAACAATGCATTGATAGAGCTGATACCTTTATGCAAATATGGGATAATCTCGCTTGCGCATATAGGCGTACTCATGGTGCGACCTGGGCTTTCCCTAGTACAGCTGCCCGCCATTGCATGCCAGACACCCCAATATTGCGCGCCTAGCCACGCCGCTGGCTTTTGCGTGCTGCTCGGTTGTCCGCGATAACTACGGTTTGCCGTACGCTGCAAACCTACATTTTTATGATTTTCAACAGCTTCAACTGCATCTCACCCTCGGCGGCAAGAAGTATTCCGAGCATGATGTGTTGGCATGCATTGAACTTGTTGGATAGGATGGTGAGCTAGACCAGCCATGACCAATCACTGTTACTCTGCTGAATCATTGAATCAGTGAATGCTTCTAGGGCAGCAGTGCTGAACTGATGTGCACTGGGATAGTGAGTGGTATCTAAAGGCGAGTTGGACACTGGAAGCATGCACATAAATGATACCTAAATTAAATGGTGGACGTGCAGACTAAATCACAATTTGAGGGTGTGAGGTCAGGCATGCGTTGTCTGACATCAAGTTTCTGGCTTTGCAATATTGTCTGCCAATTCAATGTGCCGACTCCATGGTGCTCTTCACCATCTTTGTGTGAATATTCTACACGGCCACAGCTCATGTGCGCAGACTTATCGACTGTAGTGTGTGTACTATTCTTGCCTGTTATAGCTTCCCATGATAATGTATGGTGCTGTTCATGACTGGTTGTAACTTCTCACCAGTGTTAACACTGCAGTTCTCAATATCCTCGATAAATTCCTATGACCATACATGTGTTGTACATGTGCCTGCACGTGTTATCTCTTTGTCGCACCTGCTGCTGTATTTGTGTCTCTGTGTGTACATGTGGCTGCACGTGTTGTCTCTTTGTCGTACCTGCTGCTGTATTTGTGTCTCTGTGTGTACATGTGGCTGCACGTGTTGTCTCTTTGTCGTATCTGCTGCTGTATTTGTGTCTCTGTGCTGCTGACCCGTACATGCTGCTGCGCTGCTTTGTTGCTGACACGTGCACCTTTTTGTGCTGAGTACACCACTTTTTGTCCTATCTCCCCATGATGCATTTCACGATGATAAGTATCTGGTGCGAAATCGATGGCTTCGTGGCCTTTGCCTTGTTTATGATGTATTGGCCTAATTGCCAATTTCCAAGGCGACAATGTTGTCACTATGCTGGTAAATACCACTGGACTAAATATGATTGTGTGCCTTACCCGAGCTCGCGCCGGCATGTAGTTGGTTTGGAGTATTTAGGATTCGAGATCAGGGACCACTGTCATTTTGTCTGAAGATCATGTACGTATTACATGGATTTCAGAGCTAAGGCTCAGCTGCTTCCATCCTGTTG